GCCAGGTCCGGCAGCGCCACGCGACGCCGGGCTACAAGGGCACGTCGCACGAAGCCGCCGCCTTGGATGGCCACGCGGCCATTGTCACGGCGCCCTTCCTCGACGACAACTACGCCTACCTGCTCATCGACAAGGCGTCGGGCGACTGCGCGCTCGTGGACCCCGCCGACCCGTACGCGCTGCTTGACGTCTGGCGCGAGGTCGTCCTACGCTATCGCAATGACCATCGCATCACCTTGCGCCTCAAGTACATCTTGACGACGCACAAGCACTTTGACCACGCGGGCGGCAACAAGATCCTCGCGGCCGAGTTTCCCGACGTCGTTGTCGTCGGTGGCATCCTCGACAACGTCCTCGGCGCAACCAAGCTCACGTGGCATAAGGATGTGCTCATGCTTGGCAGCCTCCGCATCGAGACGCTGGCGCTGCCGTGCCATACCATCGTCCGTCCTTCGCTGCCTGCGATTCCGTTGATGAGCGTGAGGATGTGTTCTAGGGCCATGTCGGGTATTACGTCACGGCGCCGGGCAAGTCCAAAGACGGCTGTGTCTTTACTGGCGATACATGTGCTTTGGATTCGTCTCTGGAGCTCGATCGTCTCATGTGCCTGCTCATAGTGTTTGTGGCCGGGACAGGGCGGTTCTTTGAAGGCAACGGCGACCAGGTAGACGCACGATATGCGCGCTTCTGGCATGGAGGATGGACGATGCGGTAGATGTACCGCAACCTGCATGTGGTGCTGGGCGGCCTTCCCAAGACGACCACGGTCTATGGCGGCCACGAGTATACGCTGGAGAACCTTGCATTTGCACTGTTTGTCGAGCCAGAGAACGAGGCCGTCAAGGCCAAGGTTGTCCTCTCTCATCATCTTTTGATGGATTGAGGTTGGCTCAAGGCACAGGCGTAGATCGAGTGGGCGATTGAGCAGCGCAAGCAGCGACTGCCGACGGTCCCGTCGACGCTCGCAGACGAGCGGGCGACGAATCCGTTCCTGCGCACGGACGTTCCTGCTGTCGCCCAAGCGATTGCGACCCATCATGTGCGTACTCCACCTCGTGTCTCTAGTGTTTCCTGATGCGATCTTGGATGTAGCATGCCAAGCACCCCAAGCACCCCGGTGAGCTCGTGCAGTGTCTTCGCGAAATGAAGGACGCCGACGTGCATGTCAAGGAAATGGCGGCCATCGATGCGTAGGACCTTGTCTACGTGGATGGTGGTTGAGATGCTCATGGCGTTGTATGTAACTAGACGCTTTTAAGGTGTTGAAAGAGGAGATTCGTGGCAGATCCAAGTGGTCGCCATGCTACTCACTTCGATGACAAACAAACTACTAGTCGTATTACTTTCGAGATGTGCTCTACTCTCTCTGCATCCCTGCTACTGCAGCGTGCGGTCCCCATTGACTCGTTGCCATCAACCGAAACACCTCGATTGCCGGGCTCGTCCAACGATGTTGGCTTCAGAAAACGCAAGCATGACGCCTGGGCATCGGCGCGCTAGATACCGAGCCACCGTCCGCGACGGGCTGCTTGTCGGCGAGTGTGGCATATAGCGATCGATGCGTTCGACCTGCTGCATACATTATTGCACTGCGCGGCGAACAGGCGGTAAGTCCTTGAGGGTGTAGACAGTTCAAGGTGCTCCCGACTACTGTAAAGTCTGCGCCATCGACAAGGTTGCTTGCCACTGACGCGCGTTTGGGCGGTCGAAGGGAGACGGCTCGCACAGCGATGTCGGCGTTGAGGCGTCCGGTTCCGAGCTCGCATGCCAGGCGAGACTGTGGAAAGGCTTAATGGCACTTCGAGGTCGGACCTCGGACAGGACCAAGGCCATTGAGTTTCAAGAAACGTCGCGATCAGCCCAACCTCGCTCGCTCGCTCCTTCATTGCCCACACATCATGCACCGACGGCGGCGTCTACTTGAGCCCATCTCTCGCGCAGAGCAGTGTCATCGCTTGACTTGAACCCGCAGTTGGCCACGTCAACCCGACAACTTTTGGGGTCTGGTATGCGCCTAGGTGGCGACGCTCATGATTCCTGCTAGCAACCTCGACCACAGACACTGCGAGCCTTGATCATGATGGCTTTGATCGGCCAGCCAGGTAGACCTCCAAAATGACCGACGTGTACCAAGCTGCAGGCCAGGAGCTGTCCAAGGACCTCCCAAAACTCAACCATCTGCATACAAGTGGAATGTATCATCAACGTCATGTCAATGGCAAGGAGCAGCTGGCCACTTTACTCGTCGTCTTCGTCGCTCTCTTCCTCTTCGGCGTTTTCGAGCCAGTCGATGAAGGGCGTCAGCGCCTTCTTGAGCGCCGCCGCGTGGGCGTCCGTGACTTCATAGTGCGCGTAGTTCTTGCGCGTCTCGTCGACCGACCACGAGAGGATCGTGTCTTCGGCCAGAATATCCTCGTCGTACAGCAGCTTGAGAATCACGGGGAACGAGTGGAGGAGCGCGGGGACCTTGACCGCGCAAAAGTGCTCGGTGAGCGCAATGAGCTGGAACTGGAGACGCTCCGAGTCGACGAGCTTCTCAAGCACACGCGCGTACTTGGCAATCTCGTTGGCCGCGAGAATCTGCGCCGTAAAGGCGGCGCCAAAGAAGATGGCCAAGCGGTCGCCGACCAGCAGCGCCGCATTCGTCTGCTGCTTGATGACCTCGTCCAAGATGGCCGCATCCGACCGCGGCGACGACAAGAAGGCCGTCAGCGACTCGACCGCCGACTCGATCGCACCATCGTCGTCG